GTTCTGGGAATTGAACTTGGGTCTTCACCAAGTTCAACAAGCGCTCTTAACTGCTGAGCCATCTCTCCAGCACTGCCCCACAACTTCCTTCTACATTAATGAAATGTAGTAGGTGTTACTTTGGCTGTTCTGGGCCCATGTAGGCCAGGGTGCTACAAACTAACAGATCTCCCTATCTTTGCCTCCTGAGTGCTGGGATTAAAGGTATGCCACCAAGATCAGCCTGCAACTTCCTTTTTTGTTTTGTTTTGTTTTTCGAGACAGGGTTTCTCTGTGTAGCCCTGGCTGTCCTGGAACGCACTTGGTAGACCAGGTTGGCCTCAAACTCAGAAATCCACCTGCCTCTGCCTACCAAGTGCTGGGACCACTGCCCAGCGCAACTTAATTTTTTTTTTTTTTTTTGAAGGGAACCCAAATGATAGAAAAATTGAGCTGATGAAAGATGGAGGTGACAGGCTGAAAAAGATCACAGCCACCAAAATAATTCAGGGAGATTCTGCAAAGGTGATGTGGATACACAAAACACATGCACAGGACTGTCACAAAATTTAGCATCTTAAAAAAAGGGCTGAACTTTGGGCATGGTGTCACATGACTGAGTATTTGAGAGGCAGACCTTTGAGCTTGAGGCTCTTCTGGTCTTCATGGTGAGTTCTAGGCCAGCCAGGGCTACATAGGGAGAGCCTGTCTGAAGAGAAAAGGGCAGGTCTTGAACACCAAAGAGGCAGGGTGAAGGAGTGACTTCAGAAGGGCAAAGGAACAGAGAGATCCAGGCTTGGCTGCTGCCTCTGCATGTAGGCTAACAAGGCTGCTGTATTGTATTGGGACAGCTCTGTTGAGTCCCAGCAACTCTGGTCCCAAGGACAACCCCAGAGGAAAGCCTAGGTAAGAGGAAGCACAGAGGCTTACCACTTTGAGGTATAGTACCTCAAAGTATTTGTACCATGGTCTTAGAAGGTACCTGAACAATCTGAGTAAAGCTTTCACTCAGATCCCAGCACTCAGGAGGCTGAAACAGGATGACCTTGAGTTTGAGGCCAACCTGGGGTACTATAGAAGCTGTTGTCTGAAAAGAAAGCTTAACAGGTTAGGAAATTACATACTAAGTTCAACACTAGTCTAGGATACATGAAACCCTGCCTCAAAGAAAGCATCCCCTCACCTCTCAGCAAATAAAGCTACCATTATCTTGCCCAGCTATCTCAACAGTCTGTCTGGTGGGCTCCTGTCCTCCATACTCTTCCATTTTGATGTCCTGGACTCTGCTAAGTTTGTTGTAAAAGGTAGGGTTTTCAGGCCAGCTTAGCACTTGGGAATACATAGTCTCTGCAGAAACACATATTTCTTTCAGGTTTATGTTTAACACTTGCTTTCAGCTCACAGCTTGCTGTCTATTCAGAATGGTACTGAAAAGCCCATGTCTGGTCTTCCTAAATTACTCTGGATACTTGAACACTGTGTGAAGTGATATCAGTAGTTTTAGAGGCAAGATCAGAGACTCATAGCATCAAAAAAATCTGTCAGCCCAGCCAACATTAAGGTGGTCCCTTATCATCCACAGATGTCTTGTACCTGAGCAACCTTGAAAAAAACAATTTCTGAGCATTCTGCTAAAGCTGAAATGTCAGCCCACTAGTGTAACATGAGTCACTAGGCAGGCTTAGCAACTGTCTTAACTTCTGTATCTGGACATAGTGTAATGTTCTCTACTTAGAAGCACAGTTGTGTGGCATTTTGGAGAGATGGGAAGAAGTACAAGTACTAACAATACAAGCACTACCAGGCTAACTGGCTGCAGTGCTGTGAAAAGACACATGCAGAAAGAAGAAACTGATTTAAACCATGCCTGGTGGCTCAGGTCTGTGAACTGAGGCTGCAACAGGAAGTTCACAAATTGTTAGGCTGGGCCATAGAAGTCTAAGCTGCCCACGACACAAGGGCTTTAGGGATATAACTCAGTGGTAGAGCCCTTGTCTAGTACACCCAATGTCTGAGTTAAATTTCCAGCACAGAATGTAGGCAGCCAGGATTCTAAGAGTGGAAGGTGAATATAAGAGTGGTATAAATTCACAATGTAAGTAAAATTAAGTTATCTATGGTGAATGGTTTACAGAATGACAAGAGTATGAATTTACTGCATAATAGCCCTAAGTATGGCCAAGCCTCCGGAGACACTCCGCCAATAGAAAAGCACCCAGGTGAAAGTCACCCTATGGTGTGGGTGTAGATACAGGAAACTGGAAATATAGGCAGAAGGGTGGAGACACTGAAATTGCAGGATAGGAACTTATAAAATTCTCAAGTCTTACAGATAACCAATATGTGAAACAACTGAAGATGTTCTACTTAGTCATGTTCTACATGACAAAGATAAAGCAGAGTAGCTTCAAGTGACCTCTTAACAGAATCTGTAAGTTCATGTATATAACTGCTGGATTCTCATTGCTGAGCAATCCTAGTGAGCCCATCACATTTGCCAGAATTACACTTGCCCCAAGAATGCATTGGAGAAAGTCTTGGTGACAGCTGGACCATCCATTCGTTCATTCATGAATGAGGTAGGGTCTCACTATGTAGCCGTGATTGGCCAGGAACTCTATGTAGATCAGATTGGCCTTGAACTCACAGCCAAGTCTTTTCTTGGCCATACATAGGAAAAATAAATCAATTCACTGGCCTTTCACTGCTTCCCATTGATAACTGGAGCATGAAACACACACACACACACAAGCCCTCTAGACTGATATTGGGACTACTTTCTAGGTTTTCAAGATTCATGTTGTGGCACTTCTATAAATCCTAGCATTTGACAGGTGGAGGCAGGTGGCTTTATCTGTCTGTACATGCAGATAGAATACTTATATACATTAAACAAATAAATCTTAAAACAAAACCAGGGGCTGGAGAGATGGCGCGGTGTTTAAGAGCACTAACTGCTCTTCCAGAGGTCCTGAGATCAATCCCAGCAACCACATGGTGGCTCACAACCATCTGTAATGGGATCTGATGCCCTCTTATGGTGTGTCTGAAGACAGCTACGTTACACTCATAAAAAGAAAACAAACTCAAATAGGCACTTGGACACCAACTCTGAAGACCTTTGGGTTCACACTGTTAGCATCTCTTGTGGAATCTAGGAACCAGAGTGCGGGAAACAACACATCACAGCCTGCCTCCTCCGCTGCTAAACTCACATATGCTGAGGCATTTATTCTACCACTGAGCAGTAGCCCACTCTCAGCTCATTGTAGAGAATGTCTCTCCTCAAAGTTGTATTTCTTGAGACTCTTACGTAGTTAGCAATGGTCTGTCTTCCCTTCTCAAGTGTTTGGTTACTATGGGTGTGTGCCACTGTGTTTTCTGAGCTTCCTTTTTTTTCTGAAACATTTCTAAAAGGAGATTGAAAATTATTTGTTTTACCTTCTGCAATATTGCTAGAATTAGAATGCATGTCACTGGGTGAGCTGTACATTACCTACCTGTAATGTACTTTGGGATGTGGAGGCAGGAGGATCAGGAAGCCAGCCTGGCCGTAACAGACCCTGTCTCAAAAAAAAAAAAAAAAAGCAAGCACACTCTGGAGTCTGGGCTGTAGCTCTTAATCCCCAGCATTTCCAAAGAAGTAAAGAAGTAACTTCAGGTGTACCATTTGGGGTGAGGGAAGAAATCACAGGATTTTCAAATCAGAAATAAGCAGTAGTAGAGCACCGTAAGCCAGCTCTCTACATACCTCAGCTCCACTTCAGGATTTTGCTATTGCCAAACATTTTCAAAATCTTAGATTTGGGGACTGGCTTATGGACATCTGAGCAGCCACATGATCCCCCTTTCCTTTCTGCAAGCCCACAGTTGTTGCCTGGTCCATATACAATGCTGGCTTCATATTCTCTAACAGTTTGTGGGCTGGAGCAAGGGAGAGGGTTTCAAAACCCAACACCTAGACTCAGGAGATGGTTCAGTAAAGTACCTAGCATGCATGAGGCACAGGCAGGTAAACCTGAGACTAGCACGGTCTACTGGGGTGTAGGCCAGTAAGAACTATGTAGTGAATGAGGAAGATGCCTGATGTCAGCTTCTGGCCTCCACACACTTGCATGTACACACATACACACAAAAGCAATACCTCCATACCTGTAGCAACGTCTATAAGGAAATGTAACTGGCAATATTATTTCCTGTTCTTCAGCCAGAAATCCTTCTGAAAGGGCTAGATGACTAATCAGTTAAGAGTGCATTATTGCTCTTGCAGAGGACCCAGGTTTGGTTGCTAGCAACCACATGGTGGCTCCCAACTGTGACTCCAATTTCTGGCCTCGGTAAGTTTCTGCGTGCATATGCTGTATATAATAAACTCACACAAGCGTACACATACACATAGGACTTGAGGTCCTATCTTGTAGGAACCTCAGGCTTGCTTCCTGAAAGCCTAGGCACTTAGGAAGGGGCAGGGGTGCAGTGGTGACTGATTTGCCAAGCCTGTCTTTCAGTCTGCAGCTTGTGGCAATCCTTCAGCTGAGGCCTCCTAAGTGCTGGGGTTACAAGTATTAGCTACAACAGCTTTGCTGTCTGTTAAATCTGGCACCCAGTTTTCCTGAAAAGGGTATTAAAAAAAAAAAATCACACACAAGTTGTACAGAAACTCTGGCCAAAGGTGCTTAGCACTTTTGGCCAACTTAGGTTATGGTGTAAGTTCCAGGGCCGTTGTCACACACAGCTCACAAAATAACAGGGCAATTCATCTCCAAAATAAGGCCCATATGTCACTGTGACACTCAACTACAACTGAAAACTCAACTAGCACCAACAGATGCCTAGGTAAACAAAAACCTCTCCTTTGAAACTTCTGCCTTCATGCAGTCTACACAGGTTCTGTTTGGGGACAAACATACCATACCGAATGCTGGGATTTTAAGCTGAGATTAGCACTGAAGCTTGGTCAGAACCTCTAATTTCACAACCTTCATAAAACTGAAGATTGACAGACAGCTTATGAAGCAGGATTTCTGAATTCTGGCACACTGGCCATTTATTTAAGAGAGTCAAGCAGCAAAAACTCTGTGGGATTCAGAATCAGTGACCTTGACTGAAACCAGAACTGGTCTCAAATGTCATATACAATCTGCTTCAGCTGCTGTTATGGGAACAAAGTTAACAACACAGCCCCCAACTGTCACAGGATGTTTTTATTAATACGGAGGAACTCAAGAATGCTGAAGCCCCTGCACTGCAGCGTCTGAGCGAGTGTGAGCAGGGAGGGGCAGCAGGAGGGGACCCTATCCGTATGTATGGTCATCACTCAACTGACAGGCTTGGATGGTTACGGGAGGTTTTTGGTGGCTAGCACATTTGTGCGGGTCTAAGAGTCAGCTTTGACAAGCAGGCTTCTCCACCAGACAGAAAACAGCCAGAACCAAGGACAACAGCTGCACAGACACCACCTTAAAATGGAAATTAATGAGGCTCATCACATCAGGAGGCACATTCCATCCTGATCATAAAACAAGAGCAAGAAGGCGGCTCTGGTTCTACTACATTGCCTTTCTTAGATAAGATGCTCTTAAACATTAAACACCTGCAGAGCCGTGCTCCTTGTGAACACATCATGGCCTCCCAGTCAGCCTTTAAGACCACTGTTGTTTCTGTTATCTATTATTATTTGGATTTTGAACAAAATTGATGGAGTAGGAGCCAGTAGAAGAATCCTGCTTGATCTGGAAATTTTCTGTGGAGAGCCCAAAAGGTCGTAGAACCAAGTTGCCAAGATCTTTTAGTTTACCTGTAACAGAAAAACACTTCAGATGAGTGCCAGACACAGAAGCAGGAGACAGCAGTCAGTTGGCTTTGTTGTCAGGAACCTGATACTTTCTAGGAGGGTTTTCCGCCTCTTTCCTCTCAGGAGTGCTGTCACTCTACTGCCTGAATGACACTGGAACCCACAGTCCTCCACAGAGTCACAATCTCCTGTCAAGCTGGCTAGAATTAAAAGGACAGAGACTTTCATCGCAAGTGCTGAGTGAAGGCACTGGCCTAGCCTGGCCTTCCTGGATGTCAGGATGGTGGCTTCTTAACTCTCCTGTTCTAAGGAAAACAACAGTAGCCATCCGCCGAGTTCAACCCAACCAGGCGCATTGCTACTGAGCCTCTCCCCATTTACAAGTGCACTCTTGGCCTCCCACTCAGCCTTTCACAAGGCTCTTGTGAGATTACGAGGGCGATGAGATCTTTTTCATTTGTATAGTGCCATCAACCTCAGTATTTCAGGGTTCCCCACGCCAGCTTCAGCTTTATTCATCACACCAAAATAAGGATTCTCATGCTGTTCTAAGACAGAGGAGGCCCTTGGAGTTGTGTGTTAAGATGGAACTCCCATGAGATTTTGGGATTTATAGTAGTGGACAGAATTTATAAAACTATAAATGTCCTGAAAATGTTTGACTGGGATGGGAGAATAAAGTTTCAATGCTTTCAAACTGCATTAGCTTTCTTCCAGGTCTGCTTCCAGTGGCGATAAGCATGGGAGCTAAGATGGGAAGAGACAGCTTAGTCCTCAGAGAATATGCTCCTTCATGTTCCTTGCTAGCAACATTTGCCACCCTGAGTCTCCCACCAGAGGAAAGACCAAGTGAAGCACTTGTCAAATTGCATGGTCTTCACAGTGGAAGCTTCTGGACTTCATCTGGAGATCTCGTCCAGACAGACTTAACATGTTTGAAGAAAAGTTAATCCATTCTTGGAGACAGCTCCCAGAACCTGGGGTGATCACTCTCTTGTAGGTATCCCAAACTAAACTCTAGAGCACACATGCTCACTGCTGCTATCCTTGAGCACCACTGACATAAACCTTGGATACCTGCATCCCCCTCACACAGACAAAAGTCCAAAAGCACAGGTACAGGGACAGATGTTCAGGTAGGGCATTACAGGTGTTCAGGTGTCCTTAGGGAAACCTGAATCACAGATAGTCCCAAGAACTTCAGCAGCCTATTCTGGGCTTGTAGAAAAAGAGGGTAAGGAGAAAAGAAGCCACATAAACACAATAAAATGTCATTACGGGAAGCGGTGTGCTAGTACATGCCTGTAATTCCAGCACTAAAAAAGCTGAGGCAGGAGAATTGCTATGAGTTCAAGCTAGCCTGTACTACAAAGTGAGCTAATGGTAAGCCATCATGCTCCACTGTGCAGTGTTCTTAGGCACCAATGGTTTGGTTTTAGGTTGATCTATACAAAACAAAAAACGCTCTTTGAGTGCTCAAAGACTATCCCAAGCTAAGAGTGAAACATTCAAACCTCTCTAGATCCTAACTTTACACAGCTAGCTGAAGGACTTGCTTGCATGAAGATCTTTGAACTCCAATGCTTTTCCAAATGCAGAGAAAACGAAAATCTATCAGCCCACCTATGGGCTCCCTAGGCACGTAGGGACAGATCAGGGGGAGACTCCCCTGGCTCCCCGGGGGCTTTGCTGAAGCTACAGTGGAAGACTCTCCTGTGTAGAGACACAGAACAGAGTACAAGGTCAAGTCTCCTCTGTAGAAAAAAACCCAAGGATGGATTACTTCACTTAACATGTGCAGTGTACATATGTAGTATTTGAACATTTGTAGAACAGATAAAGTAAAAATATTTACAATGTGGTCTACACAGAGATGTAAATTGAGAATTTGATGCAAGTCAGACAGGTAGAGACAATGGGTGGGGAAGAAGATAGGAGGCTGCACTGTCTGTACTCAGGTCCTGAGCCAGGCCTGGCGTCCTATGGCTGTTATGCCACAGGAGTCCACTGACAGCAAATGGACCAAAGGGGAAAGCTTAAGGGTGCTCTGGAAGTTATAGCTTCATGGCATTATGTAAGAGGCCATTTATTCATGGAGCAAACATCTCTATGATGCTTGGCGAAGAGTCTGAAGCCATAGTCCAGCCAATGGGAACTCAGAGGAACACAACATATGTGGTGAACTCAGGATTTTAGTGTCTGAAAAAGTCACTTATTGATGTTTGTGATGATGGCAGAGAAGCAGCCAACTTCTGTGAAGACAGTGCTTAATATACATAATCACAGACACTTTCCTGTTGTTGTTTAAGCCAGTGCCAATGTTAAGAGGCTGAAGCAGTTCCCTCATCTCAAGGAAGCCTACCTGCCATACTTGTCTCAGGCTGCTAATGCTATGTCTCACTATCCTGACAGCAATCAGAGTTCCTCATTCCTTCTTGTAGCAAACTAGGCACCTTCAACAAACATGACATGTCCCTTGTAAGGTGGAACCTATTCCATTAGGATCTTACAGCAGTGCAGAGTTCAAACCTCCTTGCACCGGCAAGGCTGTTAAAGCACTAGAGATCTAGCTATGGTTAATCTTAGTTTCTCTGACTCAAAACAACATTCTAAGTGGTTCTTTATGTAAACATCCCATTAAGGAACTAGACTGTGTGTGAGACAGTTTACCCCAAGGATAAGCAGGAATGCTTTTCTTTACTGTGGCTGTAGCACACAAGAAGGAAAGATGAAACCCAGTGACTGACCTGCTGTTCAGGAGATGCCTCTCAGCTAAGCCAAATTTCTCCCTTGGTCCTTCTGTGGTATGGCCACATGCTACTCTGGCCCATAAACCCTCCCTCATCTGAGCTGCCTATACCTCTACACATCTTCCCTCCTCACTGTGCTGTCATATTCCCAAGTAAGGGTCATTGAACATAACTTGCATTACTGGGTTTGCCTCCAATTTCACTTCAGTACATCTGGATGGAACATTTTGGCAACTCTCCAGTGATGATGGTCTGTATATTAAATTTTGAGAAACATTCTCCAAAGGCAACTTCCTTTTGCAGTTAGTTATTGGAATCTTGAGACACTGTTGAAAAACTAGCTGTAACCATCCATCTAGTAAGGAGAGGAATATAGTATTTCATAGCTCAAATAACTGACACAATATGAGACGCAGGAAGAACCACTACAGTACACACAGTTCTACTTGTATCAAAGATTCCCTGGCTGGAACAGCTTAGGATAAAGCATTTGATGGATGATGACCAATGTCTACTTGTAATCATATAGTTCTGAGACTTATGTTCACATCATTGTCTGGTCACCAAGTACACACCTCTTATGCTCTCAGTAAGCTGCTAAGAACGGCTCACATCGACAGATCCTGCATGTGGAAAAACCTTCTAAGCAAGCATTCTGATGAAGTATGACAGCCTTGCTCACCAAGAAGCTATCTAAAGCTAGGAAGTAATACTAGGAATTTATTCTTGTCCTCCTAGAGCTGAACTTCAGGAATCCTGGAATGTTTGACCAGTTTCACTTTTATTTATTTTTAAAATAAAAACATTTTATTTTTGATTATGTGTGCATGTATGTCTAAGTGTCTATATGATATTTGTGAGTACCTGAAAACAGACTCAGACTCAAGATTTTTATATGTTCTGAGCTAAAGCTTTTTGCTTTCTGAAACAATGGTTAATGTTTTTTAACTTTTAATATTTTTCTATCATCATTCCTAAGAATGTAAGTATCAGATTTGTTTATCTTTTGTATTATAATGTTTAATTTTAAAAACTTATGTTGCTGATTTGATTTTCATTTAACAAAATTAAATAATTTTGGTTTGAGATTAGGGCAAAATTTCCCAATGGCACTAAACCTACTCCTGTCACTTTGTAGCAGGTATATGTCAGGTGTTGAACTCAGCATTGCTAATCATAAAACCAAAATATCAAGCAACTCTGAAAACAATGAATATGCTTTATGTCTTGCAGCATCAGATATTCAGCCTAGATTTGCTTCTTTATGTAAAATACATTTCCCATGACTACACAAATTTGCTCTTACATTTAAGACATGCTAAGTTATGTTAAACAATTACCATTTTTAGAATATTAACTTTAGTTTACATGTATGTGTGTCTGAGTCTATGTATATGCACTATGTGCATGGAGGAGTCCAAAGAGGTCACAGAAGCATTGTATCCTCTGAAGTTAGAATTACAGATGGGCTGGGCGGTGGTGGTGCACGCCTTTAATCCCAGGACTTGGGAGGCAGAGGCAGGTGGATTTCTGAGTTCGAGGCCAGCCTGGTCTACAGAGTGAGTTCCAGGACAGCCAGGGCTACACAGAGAAACCCTGTCTCGAAAAATTAAAAAAAAAAAAAAAAAAAAAAAAAAAAAAGAATTACAGGTGGTTGTTAGTTGCCATGTAGGTTCTGGGAGCCAAACCCGGCTCTTTGCAAGATCAACAAATGTTCTTAACTGCTGAGCCATGTCTCTTGCCTGCTAAATAGTTATTTCAAATAAAGCTTGTATGTATGTATGCATAGGATCATGTAAAAATTTTGAGGGTAAAAAGATGTTAAGAGTGGAAAAAGTCCATCATCTACCTGAGTGATCTACTGGAGAAAGTCTGTGCCCATTCTCTAGATACTCGTATCAAACCATATATGGCTAAACTAATGTATTTTAGACTTTCTTTTAGACCCACACCCTTGCAATGCACATCAAAGATTTAGAATACAGTCATCAGGAAGATGGAGCAGCTTCAGAGCAGGGACATATAAGAAAGGTTAAACAGATAATGCAAGCATTGTCTAGGAACCCCACAGGTTCTTACTAAAGCACAAAGCAAGAGGCTCTGATTCCAACTAGGAAATGCCCTGGCAACTCTGAGAAGTAACTAATGGGGTAAGTGAATCCATGACCCAAATACCCCTCTCACCCTTGCTCCATTTTATGTGCATGTGCATAGGTGTGCAGAGGTCAACACTGGGTACCTCTACTCCTGTCTCTCTCTGAACCCTGAACTTTCCAATTCCGTAAGAGCAGCAGACCACAGAGGTCAAGGGACCCTCCTGTCTCCGTCTCCCCACTACTAGGGTTACGGATGTATTCCACCCTGCCTAGCATTTTTTTTTTTTTTAAAGTTATGTATGGGTTGTGAGGCTCTGAACTCAGATCCTCTGAGTAATCTCCTCAGCCTCTGCCCCTTAACTGTTTGTTCCACATACTTCTTTTTCATGTCTTCCCAAGCACTAATGGGATTTCTAGTGCCATTTTCCACCCAAAACTCCCTTCATTCTGACATTACTAGCTCTAATAACTACAGATTAAATAAACATAAAACCTTAAGCAGTGATTATGCACTGGAAAGACTCAACTGGATTCTGAGATTATCATGTGAAAGACAAGGTAGAAATTTGGTTCCTGAAAAAGCTGATCCCTCTCTAAGCCAACTGTGCTTCCTGAAATTAAAAACAGCTGAGCAGGGCCTTGTCCCTAGTATTGTTGCAAAGCAGCAATCTCAACAAGACTCACGCACGCACCCATGCTACACATTCACGCATATGCCTCAAAGAGATTCTGAACTGCTCTAAGTGAATGAAAGTAGTGATGGTCCTACCCTAGTCTCCTAGCTGTTGTGATTTAGAGAAAGTAATGGAAGCAAACTTACCTAGCATCTCTTCTTTTAACCTTTCATTACGTTCTTCAATTTGCTTAGGTAATCTCTGAAAGAAAAAGTAAAACAAGCATTTGGTAAGAAATTCTTATTTAAATCTGACAAATGTTTAAGCCTTACTCTCAGTCACATCCCAGATTCTCAGTTCTCTTAAAAAAATACTAAGGGTTTATTTTACATTTTTCTGTGTGTATGTCTGTGCCAGAAGGGAGTGTGGATCCTCTAGCTGGAGTTATAAGTGGCTGTGAACCACCTGAGTAGTTCTAGGAACTGAGCTGGGTCCTCCGCACGGGCAGGAAGTACTACTCACCACCAGTCATTACTCTAGCTCTCAGTCCTTTTAAAACTGCACTTGCATGTGTGTGTGTGTGTGTGTGTGTGTGTGTGTGTGTGTGTCTGTCTGGTGATCAGAAAATAACTTTCTGGGGTGAGACTTTTTCCTGTCATCATGTGGGTTCTAGGAATTGAACTCAGGGCATCATGCTTGGCAGCAAGCCTTTACCTACTGAGTCGTCTCATCATTCTCAGGTGGAAACAATGTCTAGCTCAGAAGAAGACCTCAGCAACAGTCTGTGAATAAGCCAGTTGTGCACAGACCTGTAATCCCAGTACTTGTGAGACATAAGCAGAAGGCTCACCGAGAGCTGGAAGCCAGTCTGCTTAAGTAAAGACTTACTAGCCAGTAAGACTTTGTCTCAAAAACCCCAAAATAAGGGGTTTGGGCAAGATGGTGAGGAGTTTGAAGTCCACTTAGGCTCGAATGAGACACTATCTTAAACAAACAAACAACACAAAAGGGTAGATTACAATCACCCATTAATTTTATTTCTAACTTTCTTCTAACCTCCATAGGCACCAAGCACCATGTGGCGCAGATAGACATGCAGGTGAAATACTCACACACACAAAATAAGGTAAAATTTTAGAAGACTCACTAAACCATAGAGAACAAAATATCCCCAATGCAACAAAGAAAAGCTTACATGGGACACTTATTTAATTAATTAATTTTTTGGGGGGGGGTTTTAGGATCCAGCTGGTTCCAAAATTAGGGTTCTTTTGCCCCAGTTCTGGGATGACAGGAATGTGCTGTCATGTCGGCTCATATATGTGGAGATCAAATGGTACATAGTCCCAGTGAGTAAGTAGCCATCACAAAAATCTATTGCCCATATACTTTGGTAATCATAAAATAGAATTTAGTTGTGACTGAAAAGACTAAAGATTTACTAAGTACAAAGCAAAAGAAACAGAAAATACTTTGGTTTTTTTGTTGTTGTTTTTTGTTTTGGAGACAAGGTCTCTATTATATAGCTCCAGCTGTCCTGGAACTTGCTATATAAACCGAGCTGGATTTGACCTCACAGAAATCCATTCATCTCTGACTCCTAAGGGCTGGGATTAAAGACATACAGCACTACACCAGGCATGAAAAAATACTTTAAAATCTGTTTTACCATACAAGCTTCTCTTGCTTGATGTACTGATGGATCTTTTTCTAATACTGACTTATAATCTTCCAGTGCTTCGTCTAGTTTGTCTGTTTTCTCATACAACTCAGCTCTCCTCAGTATCGCACGGATGTAGGTGGGGTTTAACTGGATTGCTGTAAAAAGAAAAGAAATTGTTATCTCAAAAAAGGGTTCTGAGTACCTTGGGAAGAGCCTTGATTTATTGTTGGTGGTGTACACAATACAGTCACTATGGGTCTCAGTTTGGAAGTTTCTCAAGGAATTAAAAATACAACTACTGTACATATAACCTAGCTATTCCACTCCTGGGCATACCTAGAGAGCTCCACATCCTACCATAGAGACAGTTGTACATTAGTGTTTATTGCTTCTTTATTTACGATGCCACAGATTTGGAACCAAAGTAGATGCTGTTCAATAGACAAATAAAAAATGTGGCACATATAGAAATCTGCTGTAAAAAAATTTTCAGGAAAATGAATGGAATAGAAAGTATAATCAAAGTGATCCAAATTCAGAAAGACAAAAAACCCCTTCATGTTCACCCTATATGTAGAGCCCAGACCGTGAGGTATACATGTATACATCTAAACAGCTGTGAGTGCGGGGTCAGCAGCTAAGATTCTCAATGAGTCACAAAGGCAGGTAATCTGAAGGCTACAGGAAGTAAATTCTGTTCCACACGCTATTTACTACTGTAAGAAATAGGCTGCAAAATCCACTTGGAAGCATGCTTACTCTAAGATGACTCCTATATAGTATAGTGCCTCTGAAAACGCCATCCCATGAAGCTGCTTCTTTAAAAGTCCCTGTATGAGGGGACCCAGGCCTGAATACACACCCAACCTGTCTATCTAACTGAGGCAATGCTTTTTGTCAACAGAAGGTTTACCTTTGCTGCAGTCAGTGATGGCCATCTCCTTCTTGTCCTGTAAGGAAAGATGACAGAACACATTAACATATATCCCTCTAGTTTCATCTCAAGGGCCCAAGGGCGCATTACCATGATCTGATCATCAGGAATAAGTATGAAGATAAAGAATGTGGAGCTGGGCACTGTGGCACCCATCTTTAATCCTAGCACTCAGGAGGCAGAGGCAGGCGGATCTCTGAGTTGAAGGCCAGCCTGATCTACAGAGTGAGTTCCAGGATAGCCAGAGATACACCAAGAAACCCAGTCTTAAAAACAAACAAACAAACAAACAAACAAACAAACATCTATATATACTGATGGTATATGCCTGGTCTTATTGTTGTTTGTTATGGTGTGTTTAGTTGATATCCCTGGGAGGCCTGCTCTTTCCTAAAGGGAGGAGGAGCGGGCATTGCTCTGGGATGGTAGTGGAATTGGGAGTAGAAAAAGGAGGGGAAACTGCAGTCAGGGTGTAATGCATGAGAGAATAATTAATAATAATAATAATAATAAAAAGTGGGGTTGGAGAAATGGCTCAGTGGTTATTTGCTGTTCTTGCAGAGGTTTTAGATAGCACATGGCAGTTCTGCTTATAATTTTCCAAGAGATCACCCTCTTCTGACCTCTGAGGGCATCAGGAATATATATGGTATACATACATGCAGCACTCCACATAAAATAAAAATGAATATTAAAAAAAAAAGAATGCTGTTCAAAGAAGTCACATAAAAACAGTTGTTACTTCCCATATAAAATTCCAAGTTCATGTGAGTGTCTCTGAAAGGCTCTTGGTAACAAACACACAGAATGAGATCCTGTTTTAGATAGTAAAATCAACAAAATAACTAGTTTATTATGTTAGCCCAGCTTTAAAAACATTGCTGAGTCTGGTGGCTTACAACTGTCATAGTACTGATGAGGCTGAAACAGGAAAACAGCTGTAGTTGCAACTCTGAGATCAGCACAGGTTAGACAGTGAGTTCCAGGCCACGCTGGGACTGCTGAGATGGTCTCAAAACAATAATGACAAAACAAAAAAAGAAAAATCCATAAAAGTAAAAATAAAATAAACCTTTAAAACGATAACAACAAATCATTGTGGCAACTGTAGAAGCCCAGAATCTCAAATCTTCTAGGCAGAGTCTACACAGCCTGGCACTGAGGGGTTTCTATAGCCCATTTTGCAATGACAACATGTACCCTAAGAGTGTCAACAAGAAAGATCAGATTCATACTAGGTGTAAAAACTCACATAAATACTGACTGCTGACTAATACACATGGTTCTAAAAAAAATTGAAAGCAAGTAACTGAGCCAGAAATCAGTCTGGTCTACACCAGTAACTTCAGCACCAGGAGGCTGAGGAAAGAGGGTCATTACAGATCCTGCATCGAAATCCACAAAGAACTGATTTAGTTCTTTTAATATAAAATGTTGATTTGTCTATTCTATAAAATTATTTCTTTGCCCACATAAAACATCCCAAAAACATACATAGCTTTAGAAACAAAATCCAACAATAAGTAAGTTCTTGTTTCATACCCCCACTACCCTGTGACCTCCCTCCTGCCTGCCCCAATCAAAGAAACTGGGGCCTCTACCAAACAAAAACTTGGTCGCTCAAAATGATTTTGATAAAAGTACTAGAGAATTTAAGACATTAAAGAGTCAGGATTTTTTATTGGTGGTGAGTTTTTTTTTTTTTTTGGTTTATTTGTTTAAAAAACAAAACAAAACTGACTTTCACCCAACTCTGGCCAACATAACAGCTGTAAAGCATGACAATAACTCATCCACAGCACTTTGGATAGAAACAGCTATAGTTAAGAGGTAGGTTTATCTTTTAAAAATCCCATTATTTTAATGTAGTCACACTAATTATGTTGAGTAGACAGAAAATCAGATAAGCCCACAAGAAATCTCACTAGTATCAACACAGTCTAGATACATGTCTGCATATCTGTTTACTGCACTCTTCTTGCTTGGCTATACCCAGTCCTCACTTATACAGATAGATAAAAAAACTTTCCCTGACAACTATTTTGCCACTTAAAGATACCATTTGCCTCAAGGGCCAGACACTTCTCCCAGAGTTCACATTTTTAACAGAAACACCCAAGCCTTAGTAATAAGCATCTTTTTATCTTGAGGTTTTTTTTTAAGATTTATTTATTTATTTTATGTATATGAATACATTGTAGCTGTTTTCAGCCATACAAGAAGAAGGTATCAGATCCCACTACAGATGGCTTTGACCCACCATACGGTTGCTGGGAATTGAACTTAGGACCTCTACAAGAGCAGTCAGTGCTCTTAACTGTTGAGCCATCTCTCCAGTTCCCTCATCTGGAGCTTTAACTAGTGGTTCCCTGTGCCTCCACATCTTTACAATTCCAAAAGCCTAAAGGGAGCACCCATAGCTATTCTGAGATGTGCACTATTGGCTTCCTGCTTCACTAACCTGCCCTAGTTGGGGGGGACTTGTCAGCCTGCTACTTTAATGAGTAACGTTAACGTGAGCCTGAGGCAAGTTCTTCTAAGTACTTTTCTAGCCTCTCAATACGCTTTTCATCAGGGAAGTACATGGGCAGGAAAGAACAACAACTTGAAGCGCCTGCATTAGTTATGGAGAGAAATGACCCCCCAGAGCACTGGGAGATCATGCAGGATTCCTAGGAGCACTAGGGATCGTGCAATTACGGAAAGGCATGCCAGCTCCTACCTGTTTCATCCTTGCAGCAGCTCTATTTGAAAACAGAACAGATCGATCTTTCTGGAAACAGGCTGGGCACATCTGAAGGGCTTGACTGTAAGAACTCTCAGCTTCCACGTAATCTGAAGATGATACCAGAAGATGGGGAACAGTCATTATGATTTTATTTTGTGGGATCTCAATGCAGTTTCCTACTTACAGGACCAACGTTTCTAATGAAAAGATGGTCCTAGGTTATTAGGTTTTAAACATCATTCCCTGCTTCTGTCTGTACAGACACAATGCCTGCTCTTCCCAGGGCATCAGGCACATGTGTGGTGACTGCTGAACATCCTGTCAGGCGAGAGCCCTCAGTTCTCAGAGCAGTTGCATGTCCTAGGTGTTCAGCTTTCATTTGGTTCAGCAATTTAGAAAAGAATTTCCAGAGGGTTTAAGGGACTGGACAGGTAAGACTACAATGTGAGGGGAAACCAGTGTAGTGCCTGGAGAGAGTTTTAGGGTGAGTGGTTAGAAAGTCTGAGCCTTCTCTCCAGCCTCTCATCCTTTCCTGTGTGGTTTCAGATGTTATCCCTTCCTCTTGTACATTCCCATCGTCTGGCATAGGATCCTTACCAAAGCAGCCACTGCTAATTTTTGACTCTTAGCCTCCAAAAGTGAACGAAATGAGCCTATTTTCTTTATAGTTAGCCTGCCTCAAATATTTTGTTACAAGAATTAAAATGTAACCAACAATCATAGGCAAGGACGCATGAAACAAAGCAAACAGGTGTGACGGCAAATATCTATAAGCTCTGTTCTTATGAGGCTGAGGCAGGAGCATTATAGTCTATCCTGGCCTACGGAGTGGGATCTTGTCCCAAAAGCCAAAAAAAGAAAAAAAAAACCCTAAACAAACAACAACGAAAACTTAGTAAATGACTTCTCTTGCTAGAAAGTAGCAAATGGGGACCGGGATGCTGCTTTTTATCAACACATTAAGGTTAGGGTTTCCAAAGCAGTAGCTAAAGAGCTCGCTCCTTAACGTCTAGATTAAAAGCTAAACTAGAGAAGAGAGAAACGATGCTGGTGCAAGGACCCCATGGTAGCTGCACACTGCGACTGAGGACGGATCCATCCTGGAGTGGCGAAGCACAGGGGCTGCGCCCTTTGCGACTGTTGTCCAGTGTGTGGGCCTGTGAGAGAACAAGTGTGTGTGGGGGAGCAGCAGCAGTGCAGAGCTCACCTCCTCTCTTAAACTGCTCATTCCCCTCCTCCTTTAGTTTAGCGCTCTCTTCTCTTCTTTTCTGAAAGAGATGAAAGAATTACATAGTTTCTCACAACATTACAAACGGAGTGGGGTGGCTCCTGTTGTAATCCAGCATTCAGGAGGCTGAGGCAGAAGGACTGCTGAGAAACTGAAGCCAGCCTGGGTTATAACTGAGACCCTGTGTCAAAAATCAAAACTTAAAGCCAGCAGTGGTGGTGCATCCCTTTAATCACAGCACTTTGGGAGGCAGAGGCAGATCTCTGTGAGTTCAAGGCCAGCCTGATCTACAGAGCAAGTCCTAGGACAGCCAGGGCATGGAGGAACCTTGTGTCAAAAAAACAAAAAGAAAAGAAAATCAAAACTCAAACTTGAGACTTTCTCCTTTTAGCCTCTAATAACGCAGCAACTTATATAGACAACTTAAAATTCATCAAACACAAACAGGGAACAAGTGCGGCCTGCAGAGAAGACAGAACATGCCGTAGCTGGTATGTGCTTCCTTCAAGGAACATCCTGACAATGTGGTTGCTCTAAGGCCAACTGGCAGAACCGTCTGGAGCCTACCTTCCATCATGTCTGGACAGTGTTTTGTCCAACCCCACAAAGCAAGTAAACCAACAAAACAACCCAGGGAAGCCCCTCCTCCATATTGTTCAGTTCTGAACCTTCTGAAACAAAAACTTCAAAAGAAAAATAACAATACAAGCAGGCTATTTCATGTACAGAGAAGCTGAGAGCCTAAGTAAGTGTACTCTCAAGATTAAGAACCATGCCTGGGTGTAGTGTTGCACACCTTTAATCCCAGCACTCTGGAGGGAGAGCCAGGCCCTGAGTTTGAGGTCAGCCTGGTCTACAGAGTAAGTTCCAGGACAGCGAAGGCTACAGAGTAACCCTGTCTTTCTTAGGACAAACAAAAACAAAAACAGAAAAACCCAAAACACACTAGAAACCAAAGTAAAACCCTCATTTCTCTTCAGAAGATTTGTTAATATACTACTTGAGAAGGCCATGTATTATTACATGCTGGATCAAACAGAGCAGTTGAATTTTGCTAAGGATGCTAAAAGGTAGGTGTGTACTGATGCCACTCTTTATAGTATCTACTGTGTGGCAGACACAACCATTTGTGTAGGCACAACAATAATTCATTTCACATTATAGCACGCCAGTAGTAGCACATTATGTGACAAGCAAACACACCCTTTCCTATAGGTTACCACACTCGAGAAGGGCTGTTATAAGAGGACACAGCTAAATGAGTGGCAGCAATAAAAGAGAAACCGTAACATTAAGATCATATTCCCCAACACCCCTCACGAGAGGTGACTGGAACTTGAGTGTCATGCTCTCTACTGCACTGGCTACAGGTGTGAACACTAGAAAAACACAACCCTAAGCAAACTGTATCATGGTGTAGACTTAGGGAAAGGTACCGGGAACTCAAGTATCAATGGGAAGCTCAAAGTAGTTAGGGCGCAAAGCAACTCTTCTGATGACCTCAGCAGAAAATGCAAGTGCTTAGTCTAGTTAGCCAAGACAGACTGAAGAGTGGCACATAAAATTCCCGTTAGGCTCCTTATCTTTGTGTCACTTGATCTAGATTCACGGTCTTGGTCAGAAGTATCCAATAAGCTCTATTTTTGCTCTTATTTCTCTTCTGATGAAACACACTACAGGAAACAACACCTTAAGTTAGATAGTGGTTGAATGTCTATAATCTCAGCCCCTGGAAGGTAGAGGCAGGAGGATTAAAAGTACAAGACCATCTTAAGTTGAATAGTATTTGAAGCTAGCTAGGGCTATCTACATGAGACCTGTATCTCAAAATCCTCCCTACTCTACTCTATCCATCCCCACAAGATAACTTTCATGTTAAAACCATGTATTTAACAGTGTAAAGAGCATGTGAGATATATGCCAATGATACCTGCATGCAGGAGGCCGAGGCAAGAGGATGACAAGTTCAAGTCTTGAGCAACAGTTTTAAGAACAAACAGGGCAGGGTAGTTTATGCCTGTAATCTCAGCTATACATGACCATGACAACCTGATTCATGGTCCTCTGTTCTATCTAATACTATTGCCAAGCTCATAGCACATGGTAGTAACAAGGCATGCTCATCTTGTAGTAAGGCCCTATCTCTAGTCAGAGATCCATCCCTTCTAAAAGTACAAAAGAGTAAGTAACTCCCTTGCTTTGAGTGTTGTTGCTGGATCTCTTCTCAGCTTTGCTAAATGATCAGCTCATGAGAAATCCACTTTAGTGACTCTTTATAGAACCCAAGTCTGCCACACATGTTATCTTAACCTATTTCTGTGATACTGTATGCCAACCACTTCACTAAACAACCCCTTGGAAGGAGGCCCAAACTACAATCTTCATTCAAGCTCTTTGACGAGAAGCTCAAACACCATGGAACCTTGTCCGACTACCTCGCTTGTCAGGTTATGAAAGGAGGGCACCGGGAGGGCAGCTCCAAGACATGGAAGCTGAGAATGATGCTTGATTATTAAGTGCTACACCAAGCTTTGGACTGGGCTCAGGAGATCTGAGATGGAGAAATCAGTTTTACTATCTATTAGGTGTGTGGTCTTAGTCCTAACCACTCATACATTTAACATAAAACAAAAACCATTTTAGCTTAGAAGCTGGTCCACTGTAGATTTCCAACAAATAGCTCCTATCCTCACAATGTGTTCCTTGACACTTAACTGTGCTCTGTAGCTACAATGCCACCAAGGTATTTAAGATTAACAAGCACAATCCATAACATAGTGCTAAGAAAGTTTACAAGGTTGTTACAGAAATTCAGCAACATACCTTAGGAGTGACCATTTAAAAAACAAAAGCAGAAGGTGGTGATGAAGATACAGTTTAGCAGTAGTGCACCTGGCCAGCATTGTACATACAGCATTGTACATACCTAGCACAAACATGTTATAGATCCCTAAGGCAGAAGACAGAGTTCTTAAATATACAGGGAAAAGCCAGCAATTTCTTTGTTAAACTGAATGCTCAGGTTTTGGTTTTGCATGCCTATATCACAGTACTAGGAAAGTGAAGGCAGGAAGATTGGGAGTTAGCTTGGGCTACGTGGTCACACCCAGACCTAGAAAATATACAAACAAGCAAAGTAATGAATTAAAATTTAAAGGGGGTTTAAGCTAGGTAGGCGTGGTGGCTAAGGCATGTAACCTTAGCCTTTGGGAGGCAGAGGCAAGAGGACTGCTACAAGGTCATTCTATACATTGTTTCAGTCCAGTGAAGAGGACATTGAGAAACCATATCCTCGAAAGGTCAACACCACCACCAACACAAGTGGCTTAAGAGGTACGTTATCACAACCATTTACCTGTTTCTCTTCTTCTGGCATGTTTTTTTCCAGTTCAATTAGGTATTCTTCCTCCAGTTCAGAACTAGAGTCGTCGCTGGCTTTGCTCCCTGCCGTATGTGCCCCTGGCTGCTCCTCCTCAAATGAGGCACTACAGTCATGAAAACATTCCTCTTCTCCATGGTCCTCCTGGGGATGGGCTTCAGCATCCTTCAGTAGCTTGCTTTGAGGATGCTGATCCTTGGGACCAGAAACCAGGGAGCAGGCAGACTCTCCTTCTTGAGAATCTGTGACTTTCAGACCATTGAACAGATCTTCTGGAACCTTACAGTCTTCTGACTTTTCTTCCATGCTGCGTTCAGGGAGGGAGGTGCGGCTAAATGTCTGGAAAAAAGAAAAAATGTTTTATGTAGTGATGGTTATCTATGTATGTACACAGTCTTAAATTCTGTCTTTCACACCCAAACAAAATGCTACATACAATCCCCAAACACAGCTTGACTTTCTTCGACTGAGAGTCATTATTTTTATTTATTTATTTTATAATTATTATTATGATTATTATTATTTTTCATTTTCTGTTGTTGATTTTTTGAGACAGGGTTTCTTTGTGTGACCCTGGCTGTTCTGGAACTTGCTTTGTGGATCAGGCTGGCCTTGATCTCAGAAATCAGCCTGCCTCTGCTTCTTGACTGCTGGATTAAAGGAGCATGCATCACGCCTGGTCAAGGAAGTCATTTTTAAAAACAGTATATATCACCAATTGTGGTAGCCCATTCCTGCAGTCTCATCATTTGGGAGATGGATGCAGAAGTTCAAGGTCATCCTTGGCTACACAGCAGCAAGTGTGAGGCTAGCCTAGGCTACATGAGACCCCATATTAGACCCCCAACCCCAAAATAGATTATAATAAACTTGCACTCTTCCAATTATCATTTTAACTGATAGTCTTGCTGGTCAAATATGGTATCAGTCTTATACCAAGACTAACATCTCCACTTCCCACTGGTGCTGGAGACTGAATCTCAGACCCTGTGGTACATATAAGTCGTTTTAACAACTGAACCACACCCTCAATCCATACCCTAAATTAAAAGACTGATTTTAACGTGACTTTTCCACATCTTGCGGTTTGCTGGGAGGCAAAAATTAGGCAGAAGTCAAAACGCCGGCAGGAAGAAAAAGTCACGGTTCCAATCTTTGATCAGAATAAATAACCAAATTGTCAACAGGAAACAATGAAGTCCGACTGGGACACTATCGCCACCGGAAACCGAAAAATAAGTTTCTTATGGAGCCCAATATGGCATCCGTGCCAAAACCGTACTCATCATCGTAACCAAATGCAAACGGTATAACTTAGGTAGCTAATTCTGGAAGGAGAGCCTTTGCGCAGGGATCCTCCAGGAGGTCAGAACTCGGCATTGGAAAAGCCGGTTCTCAACCCTCGCTGCGCAACTGTGCTGCCCAGATCCTGACAGAGTCTGCAGTCAGGTCAGAGCATCTGTGTTTTTTTTTAAGTGACCCGGATGATTTTTACGCGCATCCTATTAACCGCAGCTGCTCTAGAAGCTGAGTCAGAACCTCTGCGGTGCCTCCCACCCCTCTGGTCGCAGCAAAACCACGCCAATGACCCAGTGTCGCGTGAGAAGTCCGAATTCGTCCTTTCCTGTTCCAAGAAAAGTTAAAAGCGAGGGTCAAGAACGCACAGGCTTCGCCTCTACACGAGTGTCACTCCTCTCCTGACTATGAGTCAAGGTTAGAAAAGCACCTCCCCGCGAGACCCTGCGCCTGTCCCCAGCTACAGTGCTCACCGAACGCCGCGAGACCCACGACGGTCTCCACAACCTCCCAGCTCCGCTCTCCACCACTCCAGCCTCCGAGTCCTTCTACTTCCCCCTGCGTCAGGTACACTTCCGGCCGCGCCGACCAATGGCACCGTCGTTGGCAAAGCATTCTGGGAACTGTAGTGATCAACTGGAAGAGAGTGAGCGGAAGTAAATGTGTGACGTCACGGTACGGTTCAGTACTATGAGCCTCAGCTGCCATCTTGAGTTACGTCAAATCCTGTCATTTAGAACAAAGTTGTTTTTCAAATGCAAGTGCTTGGTGGTTTAAAAACGTATTTATTCTGGAGCCCCTCGTGCTAGGAATGTGCATAAGAATCTGAAAACAATCTTCGTCCCCAAATAAGCATTTCTCTCCAGTAGTTTCCAAAGTGCCTTTCAAGAGGTCTGCTAGGAGAGTTAACAGCTTTCTTAACACTAAATATTACGCAGTTTTCCATTCATTTTTCTCATAGCTGTATGGCGTTTTCCAGAGCTGTCTTCTGATATAGTACAACAGAAGAAATAAAAAAAAGAGATGGATTATTCTAGCTGTTAGGCAAGCCCCTCCACTTGTGAGCTAGACTCTCCAGGCCTCCAACTGTCCTGTATTAAATCAGAGATTTGCCAAAAAATTGAAACAATGCCATTCTTTTTGTGACAGGATAGCAAAGATGGAGAAAATTAAAAAGACTCAGGGAGGAAAGGACTTTAACCATCAAGTCTGGTTAAAGTCTTTCCTAGGCTCTGTCAAGAATTTCCACAAGGGGCTAGGAAACATGGCTCAGCAGTTGAGAGCAATGGCTGCGCTTCCAGAGGACCAGGGTTCAATCCCCAGCACCCACATGACGGCTTACAACTGTCTGTAACTTCAGTTCCAGGGTGTTTAATACCCTCTTCTGATCTCCTTGGCCACCATGGACACACATGGTAAACAGACATACATGTAGACAAACACTCATACATACAAGATAAGTTAATTAATAATAATAGTAAATTTTAAAAAGTTCCACAGAGCTATACAACATTTCATAGACAGAAACACTATTCCTCTTATTCATTTGCTTTTTAAATGTAGATACTTAAGAATTAACACAAACATGAAACATAAGACATAATCATACCCAGTGAAGCATGAAACATATCTCTGACTGAACTTGTAATTTTCTGACGAATAAGATTGTGAGAGACTAGCAAGATGACTTAGTGTGATAAGGCATTTGCCAACAAGCTTGATGACCAGAGTCTAATCTCCAGGAACCATGTGGTAGGAGAGGACCAACTCCTGCAAGTTGTCCTCTGATCCACACCTATATGTCATCCACACACCTTTATTCATCTTTCTCTCTGCCTCTCCTTTTCTTGCTAAATACTAATACTAAATAAAAGAAACAAAAAGTATACAATTCTGGTGTTGCTTTCCATAGTTGTTTATGTAATTTGTCTCACTTGAAATGATGAATAATGTCAGGAGTTCGGCTTAAATTTTTCTGAGTAAATATTTACTATGATATAAAGGTTGAAGCTGGGCGGTGGTGGCACATGTCTTTAATACCAGCACTTGGGAGGCAGAGGCAGGCGGATTTCTGAGTTCGAGGCCAGCCTGGTCTACAGAGTGAGTTCCAGGACAGCCAGGGCTATACAGAGAAACCCTGTCTCTAAAAAACAAATCAAAACAAAACAAAACAAACAGACAAAAAGTTGAAAAAGTATACCACATCACTTTTTTTTGTTAGTTTTCCAAATCTTTTAAACAATGTAACTTTAAAATTCACCAATGCAGGTAGATGAGGTACTCATGGGTATAATCCCAGTGCTTGGAGATGGAGGCAGGAGGATGACAGAAGTCTGCATAGGTAGTCTGGGTGTAGTGAGTTCTAGATCAACCATGTCTAGAAAGTGAATACTCATCTGAAAAAAGTATTAGCAAAAATGTATTTATATGTTAACTATTGAGACATTTTTCTAGACTTGCTGAAATCCCAGCTACTTCCATGAAGGTGGGGCTGGAAGGTTGAAAGTTTCAAGTGAGTCCTCCTGGGCTATTGAGAGAGTTCACAACCAACCTGGGCATCTTAGTAAGACCATATGTGCACAAAAGAAAAGGACTGAGTTGAGTAGTATTTGCCTAGCACATCTGAAGTCCTTTGTTTAATCTCTATCACTGAAAAAGGAGGGTGTCGAGAGGGGAAGGAAGAGGGCAGGGGGTTGGGGGTGGGGGAAGAAGAGGAGAAGGAAATGGAAGAGAGAGCGAGTATGATTTAGACATTTAAATAAGACTTCTTCAGCATCCCAAGCTCTATGTTACCTATGCGCTCCCCCACCCTTCTCTCTCAGCATTGTTGCAGGATATCTGCACATTGTGAGATTGTGTACTATAAAAGCCTGTTTCTAGTTATGGTGTGGTTCAGTCCTTGAACTCACCTTTAATCAAAGAGCTTTCTATTTACTGTAAACAGGATTAAACAAAGTCAACCATAGATAAAGAGGGGGAACAAGCAACCATGTCAACTCCCTGTTGACAGGGAGTGAACATAGGAAAAAGAACCATAGAGCATGAGAGGAAGTCAGGAGGGCAAATAGATGCAGGAAGTAGAAGGAAAGGACTTCCATTAGAAGGGGTTTTAAGGCTGTGTAGAGGAAGAGAGTGAGCTTTTACCTTCTGGGACATTAGAAGGAAGGTCAGTTGGATGTTTTTTCCAACTCTCTGAGCTAGCAGGCACTCACCCCAGCATCTGGCTTATGAGTCTTCATTTGATAATTTTGTTTTAAAAACAGCAAAGCACTCAATCTTTCATTTGTTTCTTTTGAGACAGAGTCTCATTATGTAACCCTGGCTAGCCTGGAACTTGCGTGTGACCAAGCTTGCCTCAAAGTCACAGAGAACTGCTTGTCTTTGCTTTCAGACTGCTTGGATTAAAGGTGTATACCACCCTGCCTGGTCTAGTCTTCTCTCTTAATGCCCATACTAAAATCATATTAATCAGATGTGATAACTCTTGCTGTAATCTCAGAATTTGCAGGAGGCTTGTCCTAAATTGGACACTAACTTGGACTACATGTAAAACCTTATCTAAAAAAAAAGCTCCAATTATGCTTCATAGTGGCTCATTAAAAATTATCTTTTGAGGAGTAAGATAAGAATCTAATTTCAAGCTTGGCTCATTTGATAAGCCTGTAATCTGACCATTCTCTAGGCTGAGGTATGAGCATTGATGTGTGTTTAAGGCAGATTTGGACTACACAGTGGGTTCTTGGCTGTGTCTAAAAAGATAAATAACTAAATAAATCCCCCTAAAGAATCTAAGCTTCACAGGAGAAATCTCTGAAATAGGTCAGGTTGCCTGGGTATCTCAGGGAAGGAGTACTTTGAATCCCAGAATTTGAGAGATAAAAGCAAGAGGACCAGGGGATTCAAAGTCTAGCATTGGCTACATAGTGAATTTGAGTTTGGGATTCCTGGGACCCTGCCTCAAACCAAACCAAACCAGACCAGACCAGACCAGACCAAACCAGACCAGACCAAACCACAAAACCACAGCTAGTCAAACAACCAACCAACCAAACAGTAGTAACATGGATATTAACTCCTGATATATCTTCTACTGTTACTGACAACTGAACCTTCACAATACCATCTGAATGCATCAGTGTCTTTACCCTATAATAGTTTCACGGGGCTTCAAGGAGACCCTATGCACTTAGTAAGACCTCAGCAGTCAGCTTTAACATAGAATACGTTTTCTTTAAGCTGGGCTTGGTGCACACCTGTAATTCTAGGACTTGGGAGGTAGAGACAAGTGAGTCAGCATTCTAAGATCATCCTTGGCTACATAGCAAATTCAAAGCAAGTCTAGGACACATGAATTTTGTCTCAAGAGAAAAAATGTAGGACCGTGATAAGATGGCTGGTTTTGGTCAAAGTGCTGGCTGGAAATACCCGGAGACCCAACAGGTGTCCATTGCCTGTGAGTGACAGGCATCTATTCTGCTGTGCTCCCAGAATCCAGGCTCCTGATATGTGGCGTGATCTCCATTTGATCTGCACCTTGCAGTCACATTTGCCTAGAGAGGGCATGACTATAGGCTTCAGCTTCGAGAGATTTCCATATTCATGAGTTACCTAAAGGCCAGGGGGCTTAGCTAAATTAAGTTATTCCTTTTCCCAGTCCCTCCTCTTTCCCCCTCTTTATTTAAGCCAGCTCCCTCCCCCCAGCTTAAACTGGGGGGTGCAGACCATCTATCACACACCATGAACAATAAAACTCTTGGAACCCGCAGACTTTCTCGAGTTATTGGGACCCGCCATCTTGGAAAGCAACCCCCCCGACACACACCGTGAAGTTCCCACAAAAGAATATAAATTTTAATTCTGGTACTCAGGAAGCAGAAGGATTATGGGTTCATGGCTAGCCTGGATTATACATAGACCTTGTCTCAACCAAACCAAACCAAACCAAACCAAACCAAACCAAACCAAACCAAA